GCGGTCCACTGGAGGCCAAATCTGTCCATGTGAAGGACCTAAGAAAGTGGAGCGGTCCACTGGAGGCCAAATCCGTCCATTGGATGGATCCTTGAAGTTAAAACGGTCCATTGGAGGATAAATCTGTCCATGTGAAGGACCTATGAAGATGGAGTGGTCCACTGGAGGCCAAATCTGTCCATGTGAAGGACCTGTGAAGATGGAGCGGTCCGCTGGAGGCCAAATCTGTCCATGTGAAGGAGCCATGAGGATGGAGCGGTCCACTTGAGGGAAAATCTGTCCATTTTTGGGGCCTTTGAAGCTGGAGCGCTCTAGATCCGTCTCTGGCTCGCTGAAGAGGACCGCGGGAGAAGACCGCCGGAGAGGACCGCCGGAGAGGAACGTCGAAGAGGACCGCGGAGAGGAACGTCGAAGAGGACCTCCGGAGAGGACCGCGGAAAGGGCCGCCAGAGAGGACCGCGGAGAGGACCGCCGGAGAGGACCGCGGAGAGGACCGCCGGAGAGGACCGCGGAGAGGACCGCCGGAGAGGACCGCGGAGAGGACCGCCGGAGAGGACCGCGGAGAGGACCGTCGGAAAGGACCGCCGGAGAGGACCGCGGAAAGGACCGGCGGAGAGGACCGCGGAGAGGACTGGAGAGAGGGGCTCGCTACTTCCGTCCGTGGTTCGCCGGAGGAAGTCGGAGCTCGCCAGATCTCGTCGAAGATGAAGGCCCGCTTGTTGTCGATGAGGCTTGCCGGAGCAGAGGGAGCTTGATGGACGAACTAGGGCAATCGCGGTCGCTGCCATCCGCGGCTCGCCGGAAGAGTGGGAGCTTGTTGGAGGGCCGCCGCTACTGTCCGTGGCTCGCCGGAGGAAGAGTGGGAGCTTGTTGGAGGGCCGCCGCTACTGTCCGTGGCTCGCCGGAGGAAGTGGGAGCTCGTCGGATGGCCACCGCCGCTGTCCGTGTCTTGCCGGAAGAAGTGGAGCTCGTCGGAGGCCCGCCGTTGCCGTCCGTCGAGAAGGTGGCTCTGCCGAGGGCTGGTGGCTGCTCTCCATGGTCGCCCAAGGCCAGGCGGAGCTCCCCGCTTCTCGCCGGAAGTGAGCCGCACTGGAAGGCTCGCTGAAAAGGACCCGCCGTTGTCCAATGTCTCAAAATGGCTTCTCCAGATCTGGGCGGTCAATCAAAATGATGCAGAAGAGTAGAGTGTTTGTTTTTTCTCTTCTGCCCTTTTCCCTTCAACCTCTCTCTCTCTCCCTCTTTTTTGTTTTGTCTTTTTTTTACTTTCTCAACACACTTTTTTTCTCTATTACGGACTCGGAGCACAAAAGCTTTTTGTGACGAGTCCCACAGGTGGCGCCAGTGATGGAAACCGCTTTTTCGGGGCGTCGACCCGACGAAATCGGTACCGGGTCGGCACTGCACCGAATAGCGAAATCCGGAAATTAAATAAATAAATAAAGCGGAGAGAAAGTATTTATACGTGGAAACCCAAATCGGGAGAAAACCACGGGCCTTTTTAGGCGGTGCCATGCCAAAGGGGGAGGAACTTTTATTAATCTCGGGGGAATTTACATATACATCACTGTAGGAGCTTGGAGCCATTAATGGAGCTCCAAGCTAAAAGAAGAAGAAGAATGAAGAATTGTAGGAACATGTTGTAGGAATCTGGCCTCCCCCCTCCCTCCTTCGTAGCCTGCATTTAAAGGGGAAAAGGAAATAATTGATGGAGACAAGAGGGGACATTGTCCATGTGAAGCCCATGTGCGGCATGTGGTTTCCATGTGGTAGTGTTCCACGGGTCCCGCCAAATGTCTCCACATCACTTCAAATATATTCTTCTGTCCATATATCTCTGGTTCTGTCTTGAATAATTTATCTGATTTATAAATTGGGCCAGATAAAATTGGGCTTTCTTGTACTGTTCAAATAATATTGGATTAGGAAAAATCCCTAATCCATCACTCATACTCCCTCCCTCTCGCAATGTTTTACCTTTGTTCCTTTTCTCCGTCCCACAATCATTTACATTTATTCTTTTTTTAATACTATTCACCTACTTTTTGACACTATTCATCTACTTTTTGACACTATTACTCACTTTTTAACATTATTTACTCACTTTTTAACATGGTTTGACTTCTCCTTAATCTATCTATATACAAAGATAGGAGAGAAAAAGGAACAGTGTTCCCGCCTAAAATATTGGGCTGGATCTATGCCAAATGGGCCTGTGAGATGGATAGACCGGAAAATGAGGCCTATTTGTGCAGTAGTGGTCAGAAAATGTATAAAAACTCCAAATTGCTTATTGAGCCACACACCACAAAAAAGTAAACGTCTAAATCAGCATCTTTATCTCTTCTTTTTATGCGCTACAATATCTTTTAGCTTTAAAAGAAGATAATGGCTTCTTCTCCATCGCACGCTAAGCTTACAGACTTACAAAGCAAGCTTCTTTTTTCTGAAAAAAATACGGGGTTAATCGAATAATCTGCAAAACCCTAGAGGCTAGACCACATTGATGGCGATAAGACAAAGCAAGAGCGATAGGGATAACGAAGGATAGCAGTTGAGGCGTGACTATCAGCGACCACCTGAAGCCGAACCAGCTTCAATTACGTAGCCAAAGAAACTCATCTTCATCCCTCCGCTTCATATATCAGGTAAGTGGCGGAATAAAATGTGTGGATTTTTAAAGATTATATTTGGTGATTTGATTGTTAGAGTACACCTTTAATTTGGAAATCAGGTCCTCCATGAAACATGCCCTCAATGTGTGAGCTTTGCAGAACCAGTTTAAAGCTGAGAATGGAACATGATTTTAGGGCTAAGAGAGCTATATGCTTATATGCTTGAAGATGAATTTGGTTAGCGATTCTATGTAACTTTACTATTTTTAAATATCGAGATCTATGTGCAATTTGATTGTTTGAATTCTGATTGTTTTTTTTTTTGTTCTAAACTCACAGGAGATAACTTTCAAAAAATAATTTAGTAATTTTGTGCTATATTCCATGAACACAGGCACCTGTTTCACATTTTCCAGAATTCGTAAAGGTTTGCCAATTGTTTTGTTTTTCTCCTTTCATGTTCTTTCCCTAGCAATTCTAAAATCTCAATGGGTTAGTTTGAAGGGTTTTGTGAAGGACAGTCATAAAGATGAAGAATATTGTCTTAGAACACCAAGTAGAATGTCAGTGGAGTATATTACATTGTGGATTTGTAGGTTCTTTATAAATTATAACTATTGATTTTAAGGTTGTCTTAGAATAAATAATCTCTAGAATGAAGATATTTGAGTAAATTTTACTTTTAGAAGTGATGATGGTTAGAGAATTAGATTTTAAATGAGTTCATCGTTGTTTTAGAAGTATATTTAGTTATTTACCATGTTGATGTTAAATCAATCCCTACCCGTGCAGGCTTGGCGTCCTAATGTTGAACAAAAGACTCTTATTCCTGCACAATTCATGTCATTGCTACTATATAAGTCATTGATATATGAAATAGTGTTTTTAATTACAATTCCTACAATACCAACTAAATATGATCTAAATTATCTCAATATGAGCACAAGAAAATAGGTCTTTATAATACATGCTGTTGAACACCACTTTTTGTTAAATTTAAAGTCTATTTGGAAAGACGGGTCTCTCTAGATTGATGGACTTCATATATTGTTTGAATGGTAAACTCTTTAATTTTTAAATTAATGTTTTTGAAGATTCAAGACAGTGTTTGTGGATGAAGTGAAATTTTCATATGTCCTTTTTTAGTGAAAACATGTTTATTTAATTAATAGAAAATGCATACTATATACTTTAGTGAACCAAGTCATATATTTAATCTTATGTTCTCTTTGGGTAATTATGAGCAATCATGGGTGACTTTCATATATGATCTTGATCCCAAAAAGACAACCAAATGTTCTCAATTTTCTTAAAGAGAGCATATTGTTAAATATATTTAATATATATTTATGTCAAGTATATTTAATGTATTTATTATTATATCATTGTATTATTGGTAGTTACATTTTTGTATAGGTTTCCTTACTTATACTCCTACCATGATTAGGAGTCCCATCTTGTATATAAATATGGTTGTACTCCTACACAATAATTAATAGAAAATATTCATTCTTCATAGTATCGGAGCCTAGTTCCTAAACCCTAAACTTCTTCTCCGGCTCTCGGCTCTGCTTCTCCTCGGCGCTGCTTCCTCTCCCTCGGCGTCACTGCCGCAGCAGCCCACCCTCCCCCTCCGTCGTCCTCCCACCCTCTCTTCCTCATGGACAACTCCGACAAGACGACGAACAAATCTCCTTCTTCCTCCTCCACCTCCTCAAATTCTCCCCACTTGGCGTTCACGGCTATATCTAACGTCAAGCTTCACGTTCCCATACAGTTGAGTTTTTCTCAACCCAATTACAAAAAATGGTGCCGTCTCTTCTTGCTCCTTGTTCGCCGGTTCAATCTCCATGGGTTTCTCTCCGGCTCCAAGATCCCCTCTTCCGCCGATGACGACGAATGGTTTCAACTCGATGCTTTGCTTCAAGGATGGATCCTCTCTACGGTGACCGATGAGGTCTCCGACTTGGTCATCTCCTCTACTTCTACGGCCTCCGAGCTTTGGCGGGTTATTCATGATCTCTTCCATGACAATAAACCCGCTCGGGCGATGCAATTGGAA